CGGCCGGCCCGGCCAAACCGGGGGGCCGTTTGGGGGGGCCCAAGGACGCCTTCCCCCCTGGCCGGGCAAACGCCCAGTTCGGACGGGGTGGGGGGGCTCGAGGCTTGCGCTCCTCGCTGGGGGGGCGGAATCGACCCAGAGCGGCGCCGCGTTGTAGCACTGCGCCAGCTCGCTGTGCAGCAGCCCTCGCGTCTCCTTGTGCCGCAGCACGCAGCGCCCGATTGCGCGCTGGGAGACGTCCGTGGGCACGCGGAGGGTGGCGGTCCGCTCGTCGCAGCCGCAGCTCGCCTGTGGCACCGACGAGTAGCCGCGTGCAAAGGCGACCGCGTACACCACGGCGAGGAGAAGGCAGAGCGCAAGAGCCCTTCGCCGCTCGGGCGTCAGCGCCCGCAGACGGCTGCTGCCGCGCGGCACTGTTGCCGTGCCGCGGCCGAGGAGAATAGATTCCTCGTCGTCCGACATTCGGTGCCCCCGGCCGTCGAAGCGATCAGTCGTGACAGCCTCCTCACTCGACACCGCCGGCGACCGGAAGAATTCGAGGGCCAGACGATAGAGAGACCGCGGGGGCGGGCGCGAGTCATCGATCGAAGTGAGCTGGCCCCACTTCCCGGGGAGGGGCGGCGTGGCGATCTAATGCCGCTGCCCTCGCCCGAGGAGTCGGGCATGGGATCACCGTCGGTGGTGGCGACAGAATCGGACAGAGAAGACGAGGCGGTGGCGGGGCCGCGGCTGAAAAAGGCTAGGAGGGGAGGCCGGGCCCCGCGCCCGTCAGGGGATCATCGGAAGGCGAACAAGAGGAAGAACTCAGAGGAGAGGGGGGCCTCCTCCGGAGTGAGGATGAGGACCTCGCGCGAAGAGGCCCTGGGCGGTGACGTCGTGTGAGAGTGCGTGTCGTGTGCATGTCTGGTGTTCATTATAGCTCCGAGTAGAGGGGGCGGTCTGCTGCTAGGGGAAACCCGGAGCGCGGAGCCAACCCTCGGAGACCCGTGTTTACTTAACGGCCCTCTCCCTGCGAACACGCACCCCCTGGGCTACGCCGTGCGCAGAGGAGCGCCCTGCGGCGTACGGCTACCCAGGAGCGCGCGAGATCCGCGCCGAGATCCGCGCCGAGATCGCGCCGAGATCCGCGCCGAGATCGCGCCGAGATCCGCGCCGAGATGTTGCCACGCGCGACGACGCACGGCACGGGCCTGAGCGTGCGGGGCCCCCCGCCGCAGCTTACTACGACGCGCCAACGGAGGAGACCGCCGCGGGGCCGGAGGTGTGCCAGCCGAGCGGCTGGGCACGCGTGGCGGCGGTGTGCAGCGCCTTCGCACTGCTCCTCCTCATCTTCGCCGTCTTGGTGCTCGTCAACCTGTCGAGGCGCGCGCTGACGAGGCGGATGCCCTACCACGTCGGCGGCGCGGGGCTCGGCTTCTCGGACGAGCTGCTCGACGACTCGGGGACGGATAGGTACCAGCCCTTGTGAGCAGGCGGGACGCGGACGCATTTACTTGATTGTGTCTGTGTCGTGTACTAGAGGGCGACTACGCGTGTGTCGTGTAGGTGTGTGCACGGTTTCTTGAAAGAAACGGTTTCTTAAACGGTTTCTTTTAAGAAACCGTTCTACCGCGAAAAAAAAATCGTACTCGCGGGATATGGTGGCCGAGGGTGGGACGGGGGCTGCTCGCTTTTGTACTTTGCACCTGTATGAACGCAAAGCGCGCTTAGGCGCAGCCTCTGTGAACGAAAACCGGACGTTGATAAGGGGTGTGGGCGAACGTTGAATCCCTCAGCACCCAGGGTTCCGGCTCCTAGCCAGATAGGGGGTCTGTTGGGACTGAGTCGCGCCAAAACGCCCTACCTACCTACCTATTGCGGGCGCCGACCGCCAGGCTCCGTGCCCCACCTACCTACCTATTCCCAGGCCGCGCAACGAAGCGAAAAAATGCCCGTTTGGCCCTCTGTGAATAGGCTCCCAGCGCCCGCCGCGCCGGCTTGTACCGCGGTGCGGCGCCGCTCGCGAGCCCGCCAGAGCATGGCCTACTGGGCTCTCGAGGCGTTGGACGGCTCCAAAACGCCGGCACTCTCTTGTTCCCTCGACAGAGTCGAGGGCACGGACCCTCCCGCCTACAAGCTCGGTCGCCGCCACCTACCTACCTATTGCGGGGCCCTCTGGGGCGGTCAAAACCGGACCTACCTACCTATCGCATAGGGTCCAACGGGTCCCAACAGACCCCCTACTCGAGTATCTGGCCGGAACCCAGCTCGCCAGAGTTCGACACTTTATGAAGTCCGCAGCCGCCCAGTACCACGTGGCCAATGCCGCCGCCATCGCCGCCGCCCGCCGCGCCCACAACTCGCGACGCGGCGAGCCGCCCAACCACGCCGCTGCCGCCCCACTTTGACCCCAAGGCGCTGATGGCCTCGATCGAGTCGGGAGCAATCGCCGCGCTGAGCGGCCGCTTCGCCGCCAATTGGCGCGCCACCGGCAAGCCGCTGCCGCGGCGCCAGGACATGCCGCCCGAGGCCTTCTTCCCCGTCGCGAAGCTGCGCTGGCTGGTGGAAGCGCTGGGCGACGACTGGGGGCTCCTCTTTGTGGCTCTGTCGTACCGCTGGCTGACCAAGGAGCACCCAGACCCGGAGCGGTTCCACCTGGACATCGTGTCCGCGGTGGCGAGGCTGTACCTTGACGGCGGACGCCACGGCGGCCTTGGCTCGCCGCTCGCCGCCGCCTTCGAGAGGGCAGGCCT